TTTTTTTTTTTTTATGTACTTGTATAGTTCGTCTCCTTAAAGCCCAAATTCGACTAATTAATATTAATAATCGATTTAGGCTCGAACTTCTGTATTTGCTCGTTTACACCCCTAGCCCGAACATCTATTAATATATAATAAGGATTAACATAATTCACTTTTAGAAATACTTTCTCGCCAATTTCATTAATTATTGTCTAAAAATAGTAAATTAACAAAATCAATGTAATTAATGTACATAATTTTGTTAGTCAAATATTTATGATTATTACCTTTATTAGTTGAATTTAAATTTAGAATGATTTAGTTTTATGGATACAAATATGGGGGTATTATAGAAACTTTCAAAATTCTTAGTTTAAATATATAGACTTGATTGAGCAATTATAGAAGATTAATCGTTAATCTTTATATCTATATTATATTTTCTGTATTCAGTAAAACATAATAAATTAATACTTATGTTATTTTTCATACATCTTTTTGTTGGTATAGTAGAGTTACAAGATTATCTTTTTTTTTCGTAGACAAGATAACCAAATACTAAAATATAAATAACATTTATGTGCCGCTAAAAAATATTTTAGAAAAAATGTAGAAATGACTTTAGAAAATACTTAATTAATTTATGGTATAAAGTTGACAAAATTAATAAATTTAATTTTGGTATAAAGTTGATGATTTTATTTTAAGTATCTGATAGCCATTTTTATTTTTTCATAGAAAATGTGTTGTTAATAATAAATGTCCGATTTTGTGGTATAAAGTTGATGATTTATTTTTGGTATAAAATGTTCGAATTTAAATAGTATGAATTTTATTTGGAATGAATACAAGTATCTTTGAAATTGTTTAAAACAAAATAAGAGAATTTACAATGCATAAATGTTATTATCACATAAATTTTGATAAATGTCAATTGTTTATATGTATTGTGAACCACATAAGATTTTTGTTAAATTCACAACTTTATATCTAAAATATTATCTGCGTGCACAATGTGATCAAACATAATATTATCAATTGGCAAAAATAAAAATAAAATATAAATAAGAAACAAAAAATAAATTAATAATTAGATATTTTTAAAAAGATATTCCATAATATTTGATTAAACACTAAATCCGGCTATTTAGAATCAATTAATTTAAAAGCAGTATTATTATGGAACCAAATGTTATGGAATATCTTTTTAAAAACAGTATAATTATGAGATCAAGATATTTAACCACGATTCAATCTTTTTAATTCAATCCATATATATTTTTAGACTTATCAATTCATTTTAATATAATATATATTTACCGTAAAAATAAGAGTTGGACTTTACAATAATCACGGTATCAATATTAACAATATAAATGCTAAATAAAATTTAATTATTTGGACTGTACACTTTATTATATACATATAAATAAATCGCGTATTTGAACTTTAAATATTTTATTTTTTTTCATATATAGTTATGCAATATATGCAACTTAACTAAAAGTAAAAAATATTCTAAAAATTTCATTTCAATCATGGTAACATGTTTTTTTAAAATTGCCACAATTTTCGATTCACTAATCTACTACTCATGTAAACATCTTTTTGTTGTAATATACGATTTTCTTTTATCATTTTGAATAATTTTCTTATCACTTTTTTTATGAAACATATTTTCATCTAAAAACCGTGATTTACATGTCCTCCGATTCATTTAGTTATTTATTTTTATCTACAAATGTTAAAATATCGTTGTTTTTTTTTAAACGTTATTATTTTTATAAATATGTTTTACAAAAGATACAACCAAAATTCAAAATCTCTGTTAAAACATAACAAAACAAATTCGTTCTCAATTTTTGGAATGAATTTGGCATAAAAAATGAGAATGATTGAAAAAAAAAAGATATACTCAAAACCCAACACTTTAACTTTAATGTAATAATTTTCCTTATACTCGATATAAAATTAAACTTCACCAGATACTCATATCTTTAGTATCTATCACAACTAGTTGTAACCCGTGCATTTGCACGGAAAACTATATGATTAAAAAAAATCTAAGCAATAGTAAAAATCATAACATAACTATTGAAAAAAAAAACGTTTTAAGAAAGAAAATCTAAATATTATTAAACACTCTTTATATGCAACGTTTGTGGATTTTTTGTCGTTAGAATCTCCATCACCACAAATCATTATCTTTCATACTACTCCGACTTGTAACTATGAAAAGTGCCATGTACAATTATCCATGGCTAAATTCATGGCTCTTAAGTGGTAAGTCGATGTGCGGCAAAGACTGCCCTTGACTCTTATTGAT